GCAATTGATCTGAAGCTTTTAAAAGATGTAATAATGAATTGCTGCAAGCATGAAGAAATGATTACAACAAAGACAATTAATTCCTGGTAATTCTAAATTAAGCAAATTACTGTGATGGATCCTCAAGCTATGAGAAAGACAGGTGCTAATTTTGTAAAATAGACAGTATAATGGCATAATTGTAGTTTGATTTCTTTTGTACAGCCTAATTTTGTAATGCAAAACTCTGAGATATGTCAATTTTCCCCATTTTCTTTCAAGGCAAAGAATCTTGGTCAATAGGGGTTGGTGCCGATGGACAAAATCAAACCTGAAAAAAGGCAAGAAGGACAGGTGTGTGTTACAAAACTCATTATCTTATTAATTCCTTTTTAACACTGACCCAGAATCCTTAATGGTCTATAGTACACCTTTTCAGACCATGGTGACTTATTTTACTGTACAGTCATCACAAACGTTAAAAAATGTAAGGAGTTTCAAAGGTCAAATATATCAATACGTAATCCTCAGATGGTTTTCAAGATCCAGTTTTAAGCAATGATGTGTGTTCTTTGTCAGACAATCAAATGGAATATTTTCTGTGTAATTCTTCCTCTAATCTGGTACGTCACTATCAAAAGTGATTTTGCAAGTTTAAAGTCTGGTTAAAATAACCAAATCTTTGTAGAGAAAAATGACCTTTAAACAGTTTGAGTGAGAGAGTTCTCGTTTCTCTTACATCTGCAGAAAATCACTTGGAATTCTTGAAAGTTCTTGAAAAACGGAAATGCACAAAAAACAATTATTTTCAAAAGTGGGTCCAAAAGTAAAGTGATATGATGTATATATAGAAAATGCATACTCATTCTTTAGACTTGTCAGAGTGTAACATGTTCATTTTTTTTGTAGATTGAGGGTTAGACATTATTGGTTTGCTTGATCGGACAAGGAGAAAAGGTTTCTGTTTTGTTTTCATGGGCTTTGTGTGGAGGTCAACACAAGATGACTATAATCATAGAGAAAAGATGTATTAGTGTAGGGTGGAGATCTCCTTCTTTTTTCTTTCGAGAATTAGTTCACAAGGAGAGGTTAAACTTTTGTGCTAGCAAAAGTGATCAAAATGTAGCATTTCTTTACACTGTGAACAGTTTTTCAAGTGGATAGATATGAGAATTGAGGAAATTATCAACTGGAGGATATTGAATCTGGGAATACAAATTGTGAAATCATAATTTAGAGATTGAAATGGGACATAAGTCTAAATTGTTATTATTCAAGTGAGTAGACAGAGCTTAAGTTTGATCCAAAGTAGGCCAAAATAGGGGTAGGAGTTTGATTAGAATTTGAAAAAAAAAAGTAACAAAATGACACATCAGAAGAGGTTGGAGGTTTTAGGGTAAAGAATCTGAATGAAAAAGTGAAAAATTTATTACATTATTGAAAGTAAAAGAATTGGTCATGCCTAACTTTCTAGGAGATATGCAATGTTTTTGGGATAATTCCTCAAGTATGGGTCAAATTTGTATTTTCCCGGGTTGAGATTGAAAAGAAATGCAACTCCAGTCTTTTTCATAACCTCATCATGTACCTCCACCCCTACCCAGAAAGAAATTGCTCTCTTTCTCAAAACTTCTAAGGGAAGGGGATTGTATGTGCTCAGGCTAACAATTTTATTGAGTACCTTGATTGGGAGTCTTGGTTGTTTTTAAGGTCATTACATTTAATATTCCAATGTTAATATTGGATCATTTCGTAATTTTTATTTTTAGCGACAGCCATTCCAGGCTAAAAATAATCCAGAAAATAACAAGTGGTATTCCCGAGATGTGGATGCCATGGCAGAAGTGACAGGCAGCCTGCCAATTTTAGTTGATGTTGATGCTGGTAAATAGTTATTGACTTTTTTTGGTATAATTATTATCATCAAAGGAATCAGTTATTTCTCATTGGACATCACACCACTTAAAAAACTGGGTGCAAGTTTTGTCACTGCGTGTCAAAGCACGGGGACAGTGATGACGGAGCCTATTTTCAACTGGGTGTTTGGAAGGGGGACTTGAAAACAAGCTCCTGCGGTGTGAGTTTTCCGGGGGATCAGGGTCCTTTCTGCCCCAAAAAATATTGGAATCGTGATTTTGGGGGATAATATGTGGTGAACCGGACTCTTCTTTTTTTGTTGTTCTCTTTTTTTTTTTTTTTATACGTGTCCCATACCTCCCCTGCCCCTACCCCTCCTCCTCCGTCCCTCACCTCAGCTCCGCCGTCTCTAGAGTAAGGGTAGGAAAGAAAAACATGAGTGTATCTCGCACGTTCCTCTCACGCAAGTCGCACGTTCAGGCAATCCGGGAATTTCATTACTATTTCTTCCTTATCTTTCAGCCAGCACAGCTCCGGGAGGACCACAAGGAGGCCAAACTCGGGTGTACCTTCGTAACGAACATCTACAGTACATTATAACATGGTCAGTTTTTCACCTGGAAGTTTTCACCCTTAGAACCAAGAGCCATAATCGGGACAATTATGGCTCTTGTTAGAACGTATGATATCTCTCATTTAGTACATGCGCTATGATTGGTCAATTTAGCGGATTGTATTACACGGTTCGGCCCGTCACGGTTAAATTCAAAGGTTTCTTTGAATTGAAATCTCCTTCCCTCTATCTGAACCCAGAGATATAATAAATCAGTGGCGGATCTAGGGGAGGGGCCGGGGGCCAGCCCCCTTCCTTATTGTGGGTAAAAAGATAGGAAGAAAGGAAGAAAGGCCGGCAGGTGTACACACACAACAAAACTGCCTCCCCCCGCTAAGTTCGAGGTTTGGATCTGCCACTGTAAATATCGTGCCAACCTGTTTTCTTGCTCCTAACTGTAAATTACGGGACCTCGCTTTTCCCCCTAGAATTTATGGCACGGGTGCTTCGCGAATGGGCCATGAATCTGAGCGAAAAAAAAAAATCCTTCCGTAACTTACAGTGAACTCGGTCAGTGAGAGGTTTTTATCGACGATGTCTTTTATATCTCTAAAACTCAACAGGAATTTCTTATCTCTTTTCGTGGAAATTTGTTTGCAAACTTATTATATTTGGTTTTGTTTTTTGTTTTAGTTTTTGTGTTTTTTTTTTTCAGGTATACTTTGTCCTCCTTTTACCGCCTAAATGTACTATAGGTTAAGGAAGTCGCCCAAGAATGTTTTCACGTAGTCATTTCTGTTAAAGCCTTCTTTCCAAACCGTTTATATGATGGAGAATTGGAAAATTTATGCAATTTAATTTACACAAACTTAGAACAAGAGGATGTCAGAATGATGCTTAAATGAATCCCTATCCAAGTTTGAAGTTTTTGGCAGTAAAATACGATTTCAGTACTTTGCACGTATACGCCGTACGATTGGTTAACGGAACTTTCATCACTCCACGTTCAACCAATCAGATGCAAAATAAAAATTCTGTCACTCGTGTCTTCCCGCGCTTCAGGCTGTTAACATGAATTTTCTTTGATTTCCTCTAATTGGCTCATGTTGTTTGCCTTTAATCTGGAGTCAATATTTTTTTAACTCTGGTTTTACGGCATCCAGTAAAAATACACACAATCAAACAGGTTTGGTGACCAAACGTTCGATGATGTACAACTTAATAATTACCAAGTGATGGAGCGGTGTCCGTTCGAGCCGTGAAAAAACAGCCAATCAGCCTCAAACCAGGCAAAAATGACCATAGTGTATCTGAGCAATAAATCGTACTGAAAACTACGATCATAGTAGTCTTTGCCTTGTGTTTAGTTATATCAAATTGCTTCAATTCGAGGTTTAAAGTTGTCAAGGACGTGTATATTTTCTCTTTTCTATGTGCTCAGTTCGCCTTGGTGTTTTAAGATTTTATTGTCCTTACGAATGACAAATTCTTTCCATCCATATCTAACAAGAACACAATCCTCTTTCGAGTATTGATGCCAACTGACATACACCTGGTAACCGTTAATTTGTCCCGATACAGTAATTTTGAAAATTATGTCCTCAAAATTTTTACTAACTGAACCTACGTCAACCAACATACTAAACAAGTTTTAAAAAAGTGTTGGATTGAATGAATGTTTGATGGCCTTCAACTTTCATAAAACACAAAGCTCCAAACAGTGCGTTGAAACAGAAAAAAGGGGTTGGTCATCGAACCATGTTTGATGTTGGTTAGAAATTCTTTAGACGTTGATCGCGAGTGTGGGAGCCGCGAGGAAGCCGAGTGGGTTTAACTTCAGAACAACTCAGTTTTTTTATTAACAGTTCCCCTGACGTTTACAATTTAAACAAATTTTACCGAAATGTTTTTAAAACTTTTAAGCCGTAACAATGATTATAGAATCTAATTTCTGTTTACAATATCACCCCTAAATCAAACATAGAGGTCTCGATTGAATATAGAGGTAATGATCACCAACTTAGGAGGCTTTTGACAAATTCTCCTTGTCGGCACCTTAAAAATGTGTAGGGAACAGTATGGAGAATATACCCACTGATGTTGGGGTGAAAAGAATTAACAAGCGTGAAATACCAGAAATGTCTTCTTCACATGGATAGTCTTTGTCGAAGGCTCTCTCTACTTAGAATTTAATATTTCCAGCTCGGTTGTTTAACTCAGTTTTGGTTATCAGTTCACACTGTTTTTCCCGCTCATCAATATGCTATCGTTAGAGCAAGATATGTTCTAGTGAAGACAGTAAAAACAATTCCATTTTTTGTTGGCGCTCGAACAATGTCGCGAATTTCATTTATTTCTTTGTGTGTATTCAAATCGAGCTCTTCAAACTGTGGGGGCTTTCCCTTTTGTTTAAACCTCAGCCTACGATTCATAGTTGAGCGGTTAACAACTTGAAGGAACATGATAAACAGAGCTGCCTTCTGCCTAGAAACAAGGCAGCTGCCTTAAATTTTGTGAAGCGTGTCTGCACATATGCGGAAGATTTGAGGCAGAGGTAAGTACTCAATACTCGATTTCTTGTCTTGACTACAGAACATACTTAGAGGGCCAGATGTCTGCTAAAATCGAATTAATTAAGAGACGACCGTGGGTGAAAAGGATAGGGGATTATTTTGATGCGTTAGACCTCAACCAAAACGGTTTTTTAACTCAAGACGAATTCTTACAGCTGGCGGAGAATTTGCAATCTATGTGCAAGGCCACCCCTTTGGAGATCACAAATTCACGCATCGAACTTTGTCAGTTCTGGAGCGCCGTGGGTTTCATGCCAGGACAGAAAATCACAAAGTCCCAGTTTACTGAAGGATTCAACCGTCTCGCGCGAGATGAAGTGGAACGGAAGGAGGCAGGCGACAAAGCCTTGCTCGAACAACTAACTGACGCCTTCTTTGACATCATGGATGTGAACAACGATGGTACGGTAACTCTGGATGAGCGAAAGATTTTTATGAAAGCCCGTAGTTTGGATCCAAATGCAGCCGAGGATTGGTTTAAATTAGCTGACCGAGACAGGAATGGAAGAGTGGAACGACAAGAACTCTTCAAGTACGAGTTTGATTTCTGGTTCCTGCAGAGATACCGCTGCCTGGAAGAACACTCCCAGTACAACCGCTGACCAGTTCACCGAAGTCGAGTATTCACTGGTCGGACATGTTGTTTCAGTTTATTTACTAACGCTAGCTATTACAGTCTTCAGCAATCTATATGTAACTTGTTGCCTCGTTCATCACTATATTACGTAAGTTGATTTTCGTCTCGATGTATCAGCCCTTTAGTTTCACCATCTTATTGTATTATTGTCATATTTTTGTGTGTTAGGACTCGTTCATCGCTGAGATTAATAAACTGATCATCATCGAGAAGGCTCGTTTGCTTCATGAACGAGTCGTAAACCATGGTTGTCATCGCCTGCACTATTGCTGGCTGCGAGTTCAAGACCCAGGACGTCTCCGAGTCGATCGCAATCGCGTTGTTAGGAAATCATACCGTGGGACACACCACACTCTCGCAGAACCCATCATCTCCGGCGCCCGCCCGAGGGCCCAAATTAGAACAGCCTACTATCGACATCGGCGTGTCCATCGAAGAAGGGAACATCTTCTCACGACGCTGGGAAGTGTTTAAAACGGGCTCCGGAATCGACGAGGCGTCAGCCCGTTCCAACTCTTCCAATGTGCCGGAGTGGATTTAGGCGACAGACTACTCAAGGTCAACCCACACATCACATCCGAGGCTCTATCGGCCCTTCTCGCAGCCATGCGTTCCCTCGCGGTTATCCCTGTTGCAACGAGTGTACTCCGCACCGAACTATTGCAGTTGCACCAAGAGCGAGATCAGGCATTCCGAGCATTTGCAGCCAGGGTACGAGGGAAAGCTGAGACCTGTGCTTTCAATGCGACGTGTGAGTGCGGGACAAGCGTAGACTACACTGATCACGTGATCCGGGACGTGCTGTTAAATGGCCTTTCCAACCCTGACATTCGCCGAGACGTACTGGGGACGAAAGATATCCTAACTAAGCTGATCAACGATGTTATCGCGCTCGTTGAAAATAAGGAAATGGCCCGAAACGCCCTCCCGTCAGCAACACTCTCCAGCATCTCGACATTCAAGCAGATTTCTCGGGCCCAGCCCACGCCTTCGCCCCCAGCCCCAGGCCCCTCAGATAGGGAAAGGGTTTCTACCTGCCCAGACTGCAAGGCTAGCTTCATGATGTTCACCGAAGGCACCCGAGGCTGGAACACCAAGCCCCACAAGGTGTGTATTAACTGCTACAGAGCACGTCGTCGGAATTATTAAATTCAAATTAAATTATTATTATTACATTTAAATTTATACCGCGCAGTTTCTATAAAAATATTCAACTGCGAATCAACGTCAGCACCGCTCGCTCCAGGCCCCTAAGGCCAACCTCCAAGCAGCTGAGTCCGACCCTATCTTCTTCCAGATCGCAGCCCTCCAAGCCACGGAAACCCCGTCTGACAACGGAGATCGTAACGACTCCCTACCTACACACGGATCCTTCGGCAGGACACTGGGCCACCACATCTTCTCCAAGGGGGAATGGAGACGGGTACCTGTCACTATTGGGCTGGACAGCGCGAAGACAACGAGGAGTGGCACCTCTCTCCAGGCCCCTTCGCCACTTGCTGACGTTTCCGCGATTGTAGACACAGGGGCACAGTCTGACCTCTGGGCTTTGCCCGACTTCCTTGCCTGCGGCTTCTCACGTGACCACCTGCACCCTATCCGGTTGAGCTTGTCCGCTGCCAACCGCTCCCCCATTCCCATCGACGGAGCGTTCTTCGCAAAGCTTACCACCAAGTCTCCTCAAGGTGTAGAATCATCATGTCGCTCCATGGTGTACGTGAGCAGCTCAGTCCACGACATGTACCTCTCATACGAGTCGCTCCTTAACCTTGGTCTACTGGCGAACGGCTTCCCGGGCACGGACAACACTGATAATCGTCACCCATATGAGTTAGGCAGGACACCGCCAGTGAATGCCACGCGCTCCCTCAGCGACGGCTGCGATATACCACCTACTTCGCACTACCATGCGAGTGCCGTACGGAGAACCTGTGACATGGTGCTATCGTATGGTGATTACACGGAAGCATGACGGCTCTCCGCGGCGCCGACCTCTCGCCATTGAACAAATACTGCAAAAGAGAAACATTCGCTTCCAGGTCTCCATTTCACCTGGCGCGTCGCATCCCAAAAAATACCTGGAAGATGGTGACCGATGCTTGGAATGGGTATCACAGTGTATCCCTGCGCGTGTCGGACCGCCATCTCACAACTTTCATTGCACCTTTCGGGCGCTGGTCGGACATGTTGTTTCAGTTTATTACTATTAGCTAGCTATTACAGCTATTACAGCTATTACAGCTATTACAGCTATTACAGCTATTATTATCTAGCTATTACAGCCTTCAGCCATCTATATGTAACTTGTTGCCTCGTTCATCACTATATTACGTAAGTTGATTTGGAAAGAGCACCTTATAACCCCAACATTAATTATGCATTCCACTTCTTTGTCTTTCACGACAAAACTTTAAAAACAAACTCTACTAGTCTGAATGCATAATTAATGTATGGGGTTATATGGTACTCTTGCCGTTGATTTTCGTTTCTATGTATTAGCCCTTTAGTTTCACCATCTTATTGTATTATTGTCATATTTTTGTGTGTTAGGACTCGTTCATCGTTGAGATTAATAAACTGATCATCATCGAGAAGGCTCGTTTGCTTCAGTTCCGACCCGATCACGCAAGCAGCAAAATGTTCGGTGGAGCTTATTCGGGTTAGGACTGAGATGTCTTTCGATCTCAATCCGGCTTCTTCAACACCTGCGAGATTTGAAATGTCTTTCTAATTTATGAATAAGGTTATTCGTTTTGATCCACTGAGTCGATAATGTAAATTGGCCACCGCAGAGAGTTCTCGTTGACAAGACAATCGAATTTGTTCATGCACTTCTTGAGAACTTTGAAACAGCTAAGAAGGTCCTCAGGGACAGCACCTGCGTGGTCGATTGTCTTGTCAACGAGATGCTTTACATCAAACAATTAACACCGAGTTTGAACGTGCAAACGGATTCTATCCGTGCTAAAGTATTTGTGTAGCTACCTCCCCTATGTAAATTAGTTGTAACTCTTGAACTCGCATTTGTTAATTTTATTTTCATTTGTACCCTTGATAATGGCGTCATGAAGTCGCCGAAACGTCGGGATATTATATCG